GGTTTTCCCAGGGGAACAATATGCAAATCGTGTGGTGGGCACAGTAGTGTGGAAAGGGGAAGGTGTGTTTCCTTTGTGAGCAAGGCATCATAAACTAGGTCTGTGTTTGGAAGAAGAGGTTAAGTCTTGGCTGCTCTCATGAGTGCTAATTGCTGACTGTGGAAGCCTGAAGCCTAGACAGGACACATGGCACAAGGCGTCGTCACTCTAAGAATGCGTCAGAGACCCTGATGATGTGGAGATGGGTGTCCCGTTTGCTTCCCACCTAGAAATCTAGAAAAAACAAAGGACTTGTTTCCCCATAGTGTGTCTTTAAATAAAGAATGGCTTGAGATTAAGTTTGTTTAAAAGCTACTATTATCAGCCTACCAGAAGTCCTGATGTGGTGCTGTGAGTTCATGTGCTGGACATAAAGGTTGGTTTGAAGGGCTAAGTCTGCCGTTCAAGATCATAAACCACTCCCCAGGATCCGAATACAGAGCTAGAGTTGGAACTGATTCCATGCTGCTCAACAACACCAACATCTATTTAACAATGTTACATGCCAATCTTAGAAACTATTTCCTGAGATCCAGTGAACCACACTTTGAAAGAGTATTCAAATCAAAGAACTTGACAGGGAGGATGAAACTGTCTCTTATTGATATAGAGCTAATAGTCCAGTTGAAAGCACAAAGGGAAAGAGTGTTATAACTCAGAAGGTAAATATGATATTCTTGGTTAAAAATTGTTACAATCTGGTTTATCATAAAATATAATCTTATGAAATTATAATTTGGTTTATCAAAAGACAGACAGAAAGAGGTCTCTCAGCATTTTTCAGTTTTGAGTCTATTTGTCATGTAGAACTGGAAGTCTTCAACAACTCGAGTTTCTTACTTAATATGAGAACATAGGTGCCTCTCCTGGTCTTTGTGTTGATATTCCTCAGCCTTGAGTCTGTTGTTCGAAGGCAGACTCCCTATGTAGGAGGATAAAAATGGATCCCATTTTAGTGTCTCAAAATAGTCTGTTCCCATTACTAACATCTTCATGGACCTTCATTTAAAGGTGCTTAATTTTCTGGGGCACTAGTGGTTATGAATTTGGCTGCAAACCTTAAGGTCAGCAGTTCGAAACTACAAGCTATTCTATGGGAGAAAGCTGACATTTTCTGCTCCCGTAAAGGTTACAACCTCAGAAATCCTATACAATGTCACTATGAGTCAGAACTGACTCCACAGTGCATAACAACAACAATCCACCCAGTGAGAAACATGAGGCTTTCTGCTCCCATAAAGATTTACAACCTCAAATACCCTATACAGAGTCCTTTTGAGTCATAAACTGACTCCACAGTACATAACCACCACCTGCACCATCTAGCCCACATCTTGATTAAAATAGAAAACATCTGAGGAATTCAGGTGTGATTTGGTGCATGGGCCATGCTTCAGCAGTTAAAATTTAATTTATACTCTTCATTTATTCCACTTTGTTTCTTTGTTCTTACTTATGATGCTTTACAATAAAATTCTGTGTCTTAATCTTGAAACTTTATGCCCTGCAAAATATCCACTTGAGAGACATGCTAGCACAGTTGGTAAGTTCTGGGTTTCTAACCAAATGGTCTACAGTTGGAATCCAGCACTGCAGACTGGATGAGAAAGATTAGTCTGTGTGTGTCCATAAAGATTGGTGGTGGTATTAGGTGCTATCAAGTTGGTTCTGACTCATATGGACCTTACATTCAGTGGAAAGAAACACTTCCCGTTCCTGAGGCAGCCTCACAATCTGTAAAGCTTAAGTCCACTGCTGCTGCCCCTGATTCAATCTAACTCATCTGGTGTCTTCCTCCTTTTTGTTGATCCTCCATTTTACCAAGCATAATGTCCTTCTCCAGGGATGGGTCCTTCCTAATAATATGTTGGAAGTAGGAGACATCAAGTCTTGGCATCGTGATTTCAAAGAACATTCTAGCTGTCTCTTCCAACACAGAATTATTTGTTCTTCTAGCAATCCATGGTACTTTTAATATTCTTCTCCATCACATTAACTTAAATACATCTGTTCTTCTCCTGTTTCTTCCTTAGACATTGTCCAACGTCCACATGCATATAAAGCTACTGAAAATACCACAGCTGGTGTCAGGCACACCTAAGTCCTCAAACCAACATCTCTGTTCACATTTCTTTAAAGATATGTTGTGCAGCTGACTTGTCTAATGCAATGTGTCATTTCATTTCTTGACTGCTGTTTCCATGAATCTTGTTAGTGGATCCAAACAAAATGAATCCTCCAGCCTTGGTAATTCTATAGGGTGGTTCTACTCTGTTCTGCAGTGGTCACTAAGATTCCAAATTAATGCAAAAACAAAGGCGTTAGTTAATCATTATAGGAAATGGAAATAGAATTTGATTATGATATGCCTTGGGGATTTTCTTTTGGGATCTGTCCTTTCTGGGGTTCATCCAGCTCCTTGAATGTATATCTTCTTGTTTTTCAGGATGTTAGGAAAATGTTCTCCCATCAGATCTTTGACTTCCTCCTGTGTGGTTTTCTGTTACTTTAAAATGCTTGGACTCCAATCATCCATAGGTTATTCCTTTTCTTGTTGTTCTACACAAATTTAGACATTCTTCAAGTTATTTCATTATTTTTCCTGCTTGTTCGTCTATATTAAAAGTTTTGAGAGATTTGTCTTCAAGCTTACTGATTCAAGTTTCCCACCCTTCAATTCTAATACTTTGCCCCTTAAGTATATTGTCCATTTCTCATATTTTGGTATTACTCATTTGGGCCTCTTTAACAGGTTTTGAATTTTTTCCAGTGTTATTTCTATCTTATTTGGTTGTTCCCACAGCACTTTTCTGACTTCTTCCTTAGTTTCCTCAGCTTTCTGAGGAACATTTGGATGCACCACAATATCATTCTCTTGAATTCATAATTGGGAACTTCCAAAGCTTGCACTCCTGCAAGTGGAAAATCGAGATCTGCCATCAGCTCATTTGTATGAGCTACTCCATCTTCTTTCTAGACTTGAAGGAACTTTTTTTGTTTTTGTTGCTTTCTAGACCTTGTCATGCTGTTGTATTTTCAGTAATTAGATGACTGTATACTGGTCTGTTTTTAAGCTCTCTGATTGCCTCCTGGTCGATGTGATCAAGAGATTAGTTACTCTTTTCACTTCTCTTACTATTGAACGCACAGTGGGTTTAGCAGGTGTTGATTATTTACACTGTTTTGATACATAGAAATGGGGTTTTCCCCAGATGGTGGGGTTTTTAAAGAAAACTTAAAGTAGTAACAGTACAGATACCAGGAGCCAGATGCAAGAATAAGAAAATCCACACAAGTGGACACCAAAAGAAAAAACTGAAATAAAATAATAAAAAAAAAGAAATAGAAATGACAGAGTGTGAATGAATAAAGAGTAACATAGCTTCATGACTACTTCAGAGACTAGTAGGAAAATGATAGAAAAATTTTGCTGCATGCTAAGCAGCTCTCCCATCGTCACTGTACTGAAGAAACAGCATTATTTTCACTTTGGGATCTTGGTACCTGGCTCTGGAGAGATCAGAATTGTCTTTATTAACAAAATATGGTGTTTGACTAGTTGCATCAAGCAAACAATCTCAAAAGTTGGACTTTTGAGCAGCAATTTGAATAATATGAAAGGTATTTCTAATATGAGAAAAATGTACAAGTTATTTGGTTATAAATGTTTTTGGTTTTTGCAGAGGTAAAGGATTGGTGAATTCTTGGTCCACCTGTTCCAAGTCAACATAGGAAGTATATACATTTCCCGAAACAGAGACAAGACTTGAGGCTCTCTCTATAAATATGGGTCTAAGCCAATAACATAAATTCATGACCACAGCTTCTTAACGCTCCAGCTTGTTTATAAATGGTAGTAGATTTCCTTGTCACATAAAACACAGAAAAATCACAGTACATATATTTAGAGTACTGGGACAATGCCATGGTCTCTTCTGCAGATAATAACTCTTTTCTTGAGTAAGGTTCTGGCTTGATATTTTTGTTAAGCACCATTGAGTGAGTTCCAACTCATAGAAACCCAGTATAGGACTGGGAGGAACAACTAATGAGTTTCAATCACCCACCTTGAGGCTCTACCCGGCCTACTGTTGCAGTGCTTTATCCCACGGGACAACAATAGGACACAGGGACTTCCTTAACCCTTGATAAAACCAAATGAGCCTTTACCATAGGACATCAACCAGCCATGTGATGTGCACTTCCTTTTATGACTGAGTTGTGTCTGAGCCACCAAGTCATAAATTTATGGATATCAGCACCTCATCATCAGATAGAAATCGGTATACAGGCTGAACCTTGACAAAGTCCTGGTGGTAGATATAATCTTGCCTTTATAAATCTGACTCTTAACCTGCCCTCAGTCACAACTCAGTGCCTTCAGTTCTCCCATATCTTCCTCTTCCCAGACTTGACAGTGTGCAATGTCTGTTTTCAGACAAACCACACACGGTTGGACAGCTGGGTCTCCACAATGCAAGTTTTTGTGCAGGGCTGTATCACTGTGGGAGGATCTTGTACAGCTTGCATACAGTAATAAACTGCAATATCCTCAGCCTCCACTCTGCTGATTTTTAGAGTGAAATCTGTCCCTGCCCCACTGCCAATGAACCTGTCTGGGACCCCAGTGTCCCGGATGGAAACATAATAGATAAGTAGCCGTGGAGCCTGGCCTGGCTTCTGCTGGTACCAGTATAAAAGGATGTCTCCATCCTCATCTTCTGGGAGATTCTCACTTGACTTGCACTTGATAGTGGCTGAGTCCCCAAGAGTGACGGGCAGGGAGACTGGACTCTGAGTCAGCACAATATCCTGACTGAACACTAAAATAATGAGATGAAAGTAAAATGTTATATACTAGTGCCAGGAGCGATTTTCATGATTCCCTTCTGCTATTTATTTCAGGCTAGATTATTAGTATTTTTTTGTGATTTGGATTCATACCACTAAATATCACGTTTTTAAAAAAAGAACAAAAATTGCCAAGGTCTAACAGATCCTCATCCTTTTTCAAAATTTTGACAGATTCTCTCTCATTCCTTCAGCACTTCTGATGCTTGAGGATGCCTCCTAACTCTCACAGATCTAAATACCATATTTCCCTACCCAGAGGACAAATACCCATGCACATAACAAGTGAACAGGAAAAACGAGGAAGAAGTGATGTCACCAAAGCTTATCCTTCCCCACCGCTCTCCCTTCTCATCTCGCCCCTGTCCTCACCAGAGTTCCAGAGCATGACCAGTCCCAGAAGCGGAGTAGCGAGCCTCATTTTGAGAAGCTGAACTGAAGAGTCCTAACAAGTAAAGGCAGATTGGAGCTGATCTTTTATTTCAGACTTACACAGGAAGGTCCTCCCAGGGGAGCAATATGCAAAGTCTTTGGTGGGTACAGCAGTGTGGAATGAACCACAGGAAGGCTGGACTCTTCTGTGAGCAAATCACATAAATATATTCTGTGTTTATAGAAAAACAAACAATAGAGAGATAGTTATTCTTCCTGGACGAGTAGGAAGACTAATTTAACTTGAAAGTTTATATCTGTGGGGAGGACATAGTGCATATGGCTCTGTCATTCTAAGAAAAGTCTGAGATCTTGATGATGCAGAGATGGACTTCTATTGCAAGAAGGTGAAAGACTATCCTATTTCATTGTCACCCAGGAAATCGATCCAAGAACACAGCTCCCACCCTCACTGTGCTGATCTATAGAGTGGCTCCAATACCTAGGTTAACTTGAGATCATTCAAGATTATCTGGTATCTGCTGTTATCAGATTAAATGTTTGTTAATGCCAGATTAAAATGTTAGGAAACAACTATTCTTGGGATTTAATGAACTAAACTCCTTAAGATCCCATGAATAGATGTTTTCTAACATTTTTATCTGGAATGAATAAACATGCAGCCTGATAACAGCAGATGTTCGTAAGAACCTTAAAGTGAAAGTGCTTGGGAATAAGGAAAAACTTGCTTCTCTCTGTAAAATAGAGTTAACGGTGTTGTTAAGTGCTATCAAGTCAATTCCAACACATAACTAAAAAAGATTTCCATGCAGTGGTTGGTTTGAACATCCATCACTGTGGTTAATACTCCAATGCCCATCCTAGAGCACCAGACCTCTGTTTAAACAAGGGAAAAAGGGGAAAGAAGGCTATGCCTCAGACGTGAATATTAAATTCATGGTAAGCAGTTGACACAATCTGGTACGCACTGTATCATACATTTCTCTCTTCCTCCCTCTGTCTCAACGTGATGCACACACAGACACACACGCACTCCTATAACAGATAAATCAAGTAGAATTTTTAAGAATTTTGTCTTGAGGAGAGGTCATAATTATCAAGGAATTATTTTATAACTTTTTCCTGCTTGGCATTTAGAAAAACTCTTCCAAAACTTTTTTTTTTTTTTATGTCAAACTTGATGATCACAGGGTCACCAATTTTCTGTTAGCTGTTGGAACCCATGTCTCCATCCTAGCCTATGTACTGGGAAGCCAAGTTTCTACAGGTCAAAGTAGACTTTGTATGTGAGAAGACAAACACTGAGTTAGCTTTCATGCTTCAGATTAGCTTGTCCATATTACTGACATTTTCCTGTGTCTTCATTTAAAGAAGGTAAATGCTCAGAGATATCATCCATTACAGCATCTTCATTAAAACACGAACCTCTCTGGAAGGTCTGCGCACACCAGCCTAACGCTCAGGAAGTTAAATGAACAGCTCCTGGAAAGGGTTCCCCCTCAGATCACTTTGAAGGAGAGGTGCTGCCCTGCAAACAAAATGCTTGAAAAGTAATTTCCCCTGAAAAATTTATTTTTAAAGATAAATTAGACATGAGTCCCTAGGTAGTAGAGGGATTTGCTTTCAACTACTGACCTAAAAAGTGGGAATTTAAACCCACCCAGAGGCACCATGGAAGAAAGACCTGATAATCTATCATCATAAAGATTTCTGCCAAGAAAATCCTCGGGAGTTCAGTTCACTTGTGCCGCATATGGATTCACCAGCAGGGAGAACTGAAACAGTGGCAGTGGGCTTGAACTTTAAAGTGTGTCTGCATCAAAATGGAGAAAATAAACTAAGCATTCCAATTTTTTCATGGCAGTTACATTTTTATTTTATTAATTATGAATTGAGTAGATGTTTACAGAGGAGATCATCAGTTTTACATTCAATAAATCATACACTGTATTTTATCTCAATGATTGCAATCCCCTCTATGCAGCAAGAGTTGTCTCACTTCCTCCCTGTGGTTAAACCTTGCACAAGGATCCTCTTTCAAATTCATATATTTGGGGGTTGTATGAGTCCTGCGAGCTAATGCACTGGACTGCAAGGTTGGTTTGAATCACAAGGTTGGCAGTTCAAGCTCACAGCTATTCCTGAGAAACCCTATATAGGATAGCTAAGAGTCAGAATCAACTAAATAGGACTTAAAAAAATTATATATATATATAAGAGAGAGCTACGAATCGGGCTGCGAACCTTAAGGTCAGC